AACTTAAAATAGGCCATGACAACTTCACTATGCACATATGTGTGATATATCGTGTGCTCAGCATCAATCATCTTCTTCTTCTTCTTCAGACGTTCTGCAGAACAATCCTCGTACGTCGAACAAAAAGGCCATTAGTTATGCAACACGCCAAGGAGTAATCAGGAGTCAAAGACTCCACAACAGATGTTTGTTATTATGCATCTCTGATGGTGGTCCAGCCACTATATCAGGTGGGTTGGCCCCAGGGGGAAGAAGTGCATGACTAGGGCTCGGCAGGTCCATGGACCCAATCGGTGGTCGACTATCCCTCTTATTCAACATTTGTAATCATAGTAACGCCCATAAACTTCTTCAAAGGCCAGGTACCGTAGGTGAGGGATATGGAGTAATATAAATTATTTCTTTGTTGTCAGCTGCAAGATAATTTTTATTCAAGTGCAAGAAACGTGGCGGCGATGCAACATTTTGGATTACTAAAGGAAATCTGTCAATTATCGTTTGGATCACTAATCAAACTAAGGACTTCGAAGAATAAGAGGCGAGTTGTTTTTGTCACCTGCGGAGTACAAATTCTCAGTAGTTGTTTATATCAACGGGTCGTAAACACTAGGCCTACGGTCTGGGAGAAACACAACATTGAAACAAAACAAAAGTTGAAACGTGTACTTATTTGTAATATTGTTTGTATTGTTCTAGTTCAATAATTTGAATATTCCACTAAGTTTATACGATTTAAAAAATAATAACAATATGCTATTTAAAGTATTCCCTTGTTAAAGTCGGTATTTTGCAGGTGTATTAACTTCACTTTAGAACGATGAACAATTCTTGCAAATAACAACGTATTTTATAAAAATGAATTATTCAAAATATATACAACCATTTTTTAAAATTACATTTCCAAGTTTCTAATAAATCATTAAAAATCCTTCCATGGATAAGAGGTAGTACAACTTGTTTAAAATAATGTAGTAACAAATTCTGATAAGTTATGCAAAGTCAAAGATGTGATCATTTCCAAAGAGCCCAATACATTTTTAGTTTATGGCAAAATCTTCTTCAGGTTTCGACGCTTAACGAAATAGGATAAAAACATAATCGATATGAATATTAGATTAATAAAAGCTTTTTCGATTACAAAAGTGATATAGCACCAAAGCAGTCGGGAAGGAGATCGTTGTTAGGTTCAAGGTAATATCCTGGAGACAGAGCAAATCAATTAAAATCCTCAGCCTGTAATCAGAACGAGAATCTCCATAACACAGTCATCCAAAGTCACCTCTGCAACTAAATGGAAAGACAAAAGTGCATAACCAACAACACGTCATGTCGACCTATTGAGGACGGAGGTGTAGATCCACGCATTCAAAACCTTGGCACCAGATGGACTGACAATAATTAGCTTCTCGCGTCGGTCGCTTTAATCTCGAAGAACCAGTTCCCGGCAAGACTGTCCACCGACTAGCAGACGCTTGGTCCGCAAACCGGGTCTGGACGTTGCGGTAGGTCGAAAGCCTTTCCGAGAACTGAACACCAGTATCCCTTAGTCTAGTTACTATACCGACAGAGCTATTCCAGCTCCCTATCGAAAGTGAAAATGAAAGAAAAATCAAAATAAATGTGAGGGTCAGGATGACAAGGAAGAAACATTGGTAGTTGAGGAGGAAGATTATGGAATCATGATGACAAAGATACTGTGTAATCTTTCAGAACGTTCTGTAGCGGTCTACCCTTCAGCCGTACATAAGCAGAAACGTCTGAATAATATATGCCCGAAGTAAAATCCTCACACGACAAAATATTAACTGATTTTCTAACGCCATTTCGGAAAATTGCTCGTCACGAAAAGTCCTCAAGATCTGGGAATTTTGTAAGAGGCAGCTCGGGCAACAGAGAACAAAGCTGACTGTTTATGTAATTAAATAAATTTGTTGCGTGTTCAATGTTAAAAGTGAGATTACTAAGGATTACACCCAAAGACTGGCTAATATGGGCTTATTATCAAGATTAATTTTCATCCATACACAGATATCGTTTCGAAAATCCAGTGGTTTATATTAATTTGGCAGGTATACAAACAAAACAGCTCCTCACGTACACAATCAGACTAGGTCCCTTCAACAGATCGTTGACAATTTTAGATTTATCTAACGTGATAATATGAAATGTTTCTTGCCACAGACCAATAATAATTTTAAAGCGTTCAAGTGTATACGTGCTTGAAAGTAAAGATGAAGAACAACTTATTTAAAAAGCGTTTTTTAATATAAGAATAAACATTTTACCTAGAGTAAAAATGTAAGTTGGACAGTAATTTTTTTTCGAGTCCAGTACACAACTTTCAGCATGGTGTGCATTGGTGGTTAGCAGGATTCACGTCCCATCAGTACATGGGTTCGATCGGGACCACGACATTTAACGCTCCTGCTGTGTCCTCCTTTTTGCGAGATGATGGTGAAAGTGGAGTAATTGTTGGGATGCCACGGAGAAACCGGGGAGAAACTGGGGAAACCCCGGAGGAAAACTCCGTGTTGCCTAGACCACGGCCAACACAAGTTGTAAATCTGAGCACCGCCGGGATTCGAACCCGGGACCCCAGTATTACAAGCCCAGCGTTCTAACCGCTAGACCACCGCGGCTGCTGACAGTAATCTAAAGTGTTACAGCTACGGGCAGCGACCGTTGAGCTCCTTGCCTCTTGTTTCTAAGCGGATAAACCGTTTGCAATTCCTGAACATGTAAACAGCCTTAAGCCTTCTTATATGAGACAACTGACTCACTACACCCATTGTTACAAAACATGTTCTAGGGCACGATTTGAATGGATGTGATCTGAATTGTCATCAGCATATTAAAAGTCTAGAATAGGCGCGGTTTTCACTTTGTGTCATGTGTTCAAGGTTACGGATCGTAATGACATTTATTACGTAGCGAAAATCATCAAACCAGCTCTCTTCATGCAAGATTCATAAATGTCTATTAGATCACACATGTTTGTTATACGTACGGACGAATGAATGAATGAATGAATGAATTTCTGTAGCCTGGGCGAAACATTTCTTAATCAGACACGCATTCAGCGTAGTAATGAAAACAGGCAACCTATTTTTTTTATTTCCAATGTTCAAACATGTAAATCGAAAATTCCTTCCTACATGCGCAACTACGATTGAAGTTTTGGTAGTTTAAAAAAAAAGTAATTTCCCCATTAAACTGTATATATCGATCACAGCGACCCTGAGATCATAGGTTTTGTGTTTAACCTCCACTCAAGGCGTGGATTGTGTCCGCTCTTCTGTGCTGTACTGTGTAGTTAATTATGGAATGAAAAAGAACAGAGGGTCTAATCCGTAAAAGACAAAAAAAAATTATATTCATATTCAAAATCACGATTTCGAAGTTTCCAACATATTTGTCAACCCTTCAAAAGACAAGTATAATCTAAATTATATGTTTTATTGCGTAGTATTAGAGGAGCAAGTTACAGATGTGGACCACAAAAATTGTTAGGCGAACATTGTCCCTTGCACTGAGAACAAAATTTAATAATTCGTTTTCCACCGCCAAGAAAACAGTAGCTCGGACTGAATAGCGTCGAATTTTACAAAGATTAATAAATGATGAAGAGTACAGTATTTGAAAGGAAGTGGTCTTTACCTAATTCAATTTATTATCCTAAAATTTTTCTGGAGATACTGAGGTAAAGTACGAAAATACCTCATTCAAAACGCCCGGACTGATCTTAGATAATGTCATCCGCTTTATGAACAAGTCCTGGTAAGGGTTAAAATTCGTTCATGAACAGTATCTGAAGAGCATTGTCGTCAACTGTTTAACACCTTCAGAGGATATTTAATAAAGCCAATTCTTCACAAATTTAATTATCTGTCACATTTAATTCTACAGACTTTGTACCTACGAAAGCAATACCTATAAACTTAACACCACAAAATAACATTGCAATAAATCTAAATTTTATAAACACATAGGCCCTGATAGTAGAAGTTATCAGGAGCATCTCACTACAGTCAGCCTTCTTCAGTAAAATTTCCATTTCATTTATAACTTAGCTCACTACAGTCAGCCTTCTTCAGTAAAGTTTCCAATTCATTTATAATTCAAACTGTCTTATATGCCTGGGATTATGCCATTAAATTAGTAATAGTATTTCTTACTAAATAGGTCTGTTGAAAGAACAAGCTATAAGTAGAGGAAAGCTTTGGAAATTGATGTATTTTGACAACAAACAGCATATGGTCACCCGGTAATAAAATAAAATGCTTAGTGATTTCTCAAACTTAACATTGTTCTGTACTGTAATCAAATTCAAAGCCTAGTTTATATTCCGTTGTGCAAGGCGCTGAATGTTTACTGAATTTTTATGATCGTCGTTGTGTACAAATTAAACATCAACAACGATACTTTGGTTAATAAGACGCATTTCTAGAAGCAATCAAATGATACATGTCAGAACGCAAACATCTCTTTGTAACATTAAACAAGACGAAAGAACAAATATGCGTAATAACTGTAAACAATTGCTGAGATAATAGTCATTCGATATTCTAAAATATGGACTCGCCCAGAATAACCTGTCTTCCGTTGTTACCTTTATAAAATTTTGGTCATTGAGTTCATACGTCATACTTAATCTTCCATGACGTACAATCATAAACCACAACAAGACACAACAAAAGTTACCCAATTAAAACTGCGAGAAATCGTTTTTGTCAGATGGTTAGCCATCCAATACGGTTAACATGAACGCTCATCTACTGCTCCTACAAATTATCTCCGAAAAATAATTAGAAATTTAACTTGCCATGTGCCTCAACGCTTCATTGTTGCAATAATTTTATGAATAAAATACATGTTGAAACATCTCCTATCTATCTGTTGTTTTCGACTGCTGACTTGTTTGCATCCTGAAATCGTATTTTGGGCCTTCAAAACAAATTCACGTTGCTCTACAGAAGTAAAGCAAAACCTTCATCCCTTACCTGCAGCCATTACCCAAGCCGCCGCTGAATTCCACGTCCGTTTGAGAATGAAGATCCCGTCTTGGCATGACAGTGACTGGGTCCACCTTACACCACTCGTCTTGGCATGACAGTGACTGGGTCCAGTTTACACCACACTGCATTTCTTATTAAAACTCACTGTAATGTTTCCACAAATCAGATTCTTGTAACGTACGTGATGAGATATTTATTTCACACGTTATCACACAAATCATATCACTTTTATAAAAGCTAAACGATAACAAGAAATCTAAAATTATTACCACGCACACAACTGAACGTCACCATCAGTTAGGCTCAAGCGTTACGCATGCGCGGTCAGTTCGGGAATATTCCCGAAAAAAAACGAAGGTGTGCTTCGTACAGGGCACATTTCACGTGACGCATAATGTTGGTCTGTGTCTGCTTATTTTCCAGGTGCACGATATAGACTGTTACAAGGAGGGCGACGATCCCTTTTGCGTGAAAGACGTTGGATTTCCTTTTCCATAGACCAAGCTGGATAAAAAATAACACGAGAGTATTCTGGGATATTTTGCCGTGTAGTGACGTAGCTGACCGTAGCTTACTGCGTCCAACATTAGGGCGATGTTAACGCATATGAATGAGACAAACATTAGGAATATTTCTGAAAGAATCCCATTCTACTCACGACCCAACTAGGAATTGTATTTTAATTAATGGAAACAACGGAATTCCATTAACTTTCTAAATAATTTTGAAGAGAATTTTAGACCTAAATAATTTTAAATAGGTCTACGATACATTATAACTACAGATACCTCGTTTTGTTGTGACAACGCAAAAATTACTTACTTTTTATTTAATTATACGTTACGAGATATTACTATTAAAACTACAATATCACCAGTCTGTAACAAAGTACGGAGATGAATAAAGATGAGTAATCAGTTTCAAATATTTTTACTCAATTGTTATATTTATGTAGCTAAAGAAAGAGAACTGAGAATTCTTACAAAATTTTAGCAACTCACAGGTGAATAGGCAAGAAGACAAGAGGGCAATACTGTCACGCTTCTACGGGATATACGGTAAGACGATGTTGGCTGAAATTAATTTTGCTCGGGACAAGGGTTCGGTCCGGGTGTTGAAATTTAGGGTTTCATAAAAAATGCAGTTTCTTTGACTAGCTGAGCGACTATCAGCTTCTCTCAAATGACGTACTGCATGGACTTAGTTAATTAGTTAGAAGTGGTATTTGTGATTAAGAGGTATCTACACTTTAATAAGTTAAGTAATATAATTGGTAGAAGTTTTAATTGTACAATTGACGTGTTGTGCATTTAGTTGTAAGCACTTATAATTTTTTTCTTCAAAGTACTGCCAGTTAAAACCAACTTTCGATCAAAGTTACTGTCTGTATCAACTTTCTCACCCGAACAACAAATAAAGTGATGTTAGTGCGTCGCTCTTTTCGTGTCGTACTAAGTTAAGTACGTAATTATGCCGCCAGATGGTTCGTTAAACATATCAGATATCACAAAATAGATACCTCAAGGTTGAATAAGTACGTTATGAACGTTCGAAATGTCATAAGGTTTATTGGAAGAAAATAGGTTTTGTGTGCGTCCATACATCGCAACTTAACATATAGTTTTCACATCGTAATGCTTAGCTTCTTTATTTTGAATTAATACAAAGACAAATATTTCTAGGTAGACATAAAAATTTAAATTGATGGTTAACAATATGACTCTCGTTTACTCTCTCAGAATGTGATATCTTGTACTAATGCTCTTATACGTGAAAAACACGCTATATGATACAAACGTATGGCTAAATTTAATGGGATTTTAAGCATAAAAAGATGCATATTAGAACATAAGCAAGTACAGATTCGTGGCTTAATTCAGAATGATAAGCTGTAAATTGCCAGGAGAAGTTTATATATCAACAAATCACTTCAGTCAGGAAAATTTCTGACTCGGCCGAGATTCGAACCGTATACACTAACTCAAGCCTATAGACTAGACAGGTGTAGATACTTTTAGCTGCAGAAAAGGCAATGAAAATCTAACACATTAATAATGTGGCATAACAAGCAGGTCCAAGTAACACAAATAACGTCATTCATAGGCCTATATCTCTACCGAGAGGCTAGCAAAACTTAAAATTAGCCTAATTACAACACAAATTATTTATTAGCTTATATTTGTGAGTTATTTTTTGTAGAATATATTTCTAACGTCTGAAAACTATGACGTGATCTCAGAGATTAAAGCAATCAAATGTAAATGTAAAAATTTGCGAAAATATCTCCATTCATATTTGTGGGTAAGAACCTGTAATTTAGCCACATTCCGCACTGTCACTATTTTCATGTAAAACATTACGAACTCCAAAATATGTACCAATAATTTCCAAACACTTTCGCGTTGTATTGACTCTGGTAATCATTGATATCTTTTTGAAAAAGGAAAAAATATATTTAATTGGGTAACAGAATACTTAGACTTGATACGAGTCAGCAGCAAGGGCTGTGTCTTTGAAAGACAAACAAGAAAACATTCATGCCTCTAATTGGAATCGAACACGCACACAAAACAGTAACTGGTTTCGACAGGTCGACACGAAAAAGCAAAATTGAATATGCATCGAGATTAATATTGACGCTGACACAAAGTCCTTCAAATGGCGAAGAGAAGAAGCAGTAACATTTGTTAGAAAGTGCAATGCGTCATGGATGGTGCGTGCCCAACTCCTCTGCACCCGCGAGCAATATGGTGCAGAGGGATGCTCTCGTTTCATCATCAGCGACCTACAGTGGTGGGAGGTGCATGGGTTTTCCTATAAATACTGACCGACACCAGAGCAGGTACATCACAACAATCCAGCGGCTGTGAACATAGGACCACTGGACATGAATATTGTGAGTATGTGGAATATCACACATGCAAACACTTTTACACTTCTGAAGGGAACACAACAGGGCAAAAACTGTTCAAAAATTAATATACCTCAGTTTCTAACACTCATTATTCAACTATTCTTACAGTACCGTTAGGGAAATTAAATTAAGAATGTCTAGATGGACAGCTCGTGAGTAAACCAATAAATCCATATAACATCTTAGTTAAAAATACGATTAGAGATATGGCAGGATAATATTAAAATAAATATAAGATACGTGGTAATGGAAATATGAGTTGGATTTTAATGGTTCGGTGGAGGGTCGAAAAATAGGCTTTTGTGATAACGACGATGAACATCATAAAGGCGAATCTCTTGGTCCGCTGAGCAAGATTTAACTGCTTAAGAAGGGTCTCGTATCATTCGGTTAGTTATAATGTGTAAAGACAATAATAATAATTTGTATTCATATATCCGCTTCATAATCCATAATCGAAATATAACCAGAGTAAAAATAAGCGACGCAAATATGAGTTGAATCGTACAGGAGCCATGTCAAATTTTCTGCCCGAAATTTGTCGAATTATACATGATGTGGGGCCTCAAATTTTCCAATTTGTCGAATTATACATGATGTGGGGGTCTCAAATTTTCTAAGTTTTAACAAATGTGAAGTACTAAATGCTGGTAAAATAGTGATTTACGTGCTGCTGTTTTATACTTAAATTAAATAAAGTGGAAATGTCATGGAATTAAATTCACATTTGTACGTATTTGTGGCGGGGTGTCAGAGAAAGTAACTATATGTCTCACTGACCTCAAACTTGAAATTAAAGTAGGCGGTTATAAATTTTCCTATCATTGCGATAGTCTCCGACAGTACAAAACAAAAGCATAACACCGCCATTCCGAGGAGATTACATCATAGTGAAAACAAAACATCACCATCTTCCAGCGATTGGATATTTCATCCATGAACCTACACATTATACACCCACAAAGTCTATTATAATGAACTTAAAATTTACCATAGCGTACATCTGCATTATTTTACGATTTTACAGAATAAAAATTGTTTTTGTCGAGAGTCTAAAATTGTTCAACATAGGTATATGTAAATGTTGTACCTTCATATGTTTAATGACGAGTTCAATAGCTCAGAATATGCCTTTGTAATGTTAGGATAATTAGTAGATATTTTATTGGAAAGGACAAAGGAAGGTCGTGTCGAAATATAAAGCAATTTTCCGTAATTTGTAGCTACGGACGGAGGAAAACAACGAAAAACCTGTCAGGACAGCCGGAGCCGGACTGAAATTTGTAACAGGGACCTTCTGACTACGAAGTAAGGTAGCATCCTTACGTTCTGCGAACGTTGTAATACCGAAAACTAATTACTTCTGCAGTTTACTAATTGTATATAGTTGAGATGCCAAGAGATTTGTTAATACGACCTGTTTCACGACAAAGATCCGTCGTTCTTATGTAATTCAAGATGTTACTTAAACCGTTGACGGTACCCGAAGTCGAATAAGTAGGTTGTTATGTATAGTAATATTGCCGACAATCAGGGCTGCTGTAACCTGGTTCTAGGGATGTACAACCTATTTTAAATCGCTTTGAATGACTGAGGTAAACGGCATAATTCGAAAACAAGTTGGCAGAAAAACCGACGAGTTGTTCATTGTGAATTCCGTGTCAGAACAAGAAGAAAAAGAACAAAAATCTAGCTGCAGACCTCAATAATAGAAGTAGAATTATGAAAATATTTTCTTAGAATATTTAGTTCATACTTTACTCAGAAAGTTTAAGTTTAGTTAATTTCTTTAGAACGTCGCTAACTAATGTCCAGTTGTTTACACGCTAAAATATCAGCCCAGAGATCGGCTATCCTGATAGATTTTACCTGGTTTTCCTAATTCTCTCTAAGCACACACGAGATACTAACTAATGATATCGTAAACTTTGAGTCTTACTGTGGAGATATTTCTTTTAATGCGACAGTTCATTTCTACGACTGCTATGGAAACATTTCAGACAACAGAAACTTTGAGCGTTGTTACAGAAAAGTTAGGCCTACTTCTCACGTAACAATAAACTTCGAGTGTTGCTATGGAGACGTTTAAATATTGAACATTGCTATTACAGCGAGACAATAAACAGCAAAAACTGTAATGGAGATGTTCATTTAATGTAACAGTAAACTTCGAATATTGGTACCAACATTTTTTAACGTTACATTAAATTTTTAGCATTGTTATGAAAATTTTGCTTGTAACAACACTAAACTCAGAGCGATGTAATGGAAACGTTTATTTTAAGGTAATATAAACAAGCATTACTGTAGATACGTTGCTTTTAACGTAACTAAGAGTAAAGTCCAATCACTTAATAGAGCTTTGCTTTTGATATAAAAGTAAATATGGAACATTAATGGGAAAATGTTTCTTTTGACCCAACAGTAAAACTCGGGCACTGATATGGGAACTTTTTTGTAATGTTAAAATAAATTTCGAGCATTATTATGTAAACTCTACGTTCAGTTTGAAAGTGACAATAAAGTACCACAAATCAAAAGAAATCACGAAAGAAAGCTTTATTAGTAAAACACCGGCAAAATGTTTACCTTTGTTCGTCCTGGTAACTTACAAAGCGAATTTGCTTTATGATCTTTCCTGTGCCACTTCTATTAACATTAAATGGCCTATGAATTAGCTCGGGGCACGTTTTTACTGAACACCTGTTGTCCAGGTACAAAATTAAAATAATTTTAATAATAGTACTTGTATATATCTGAGCTCTTGGCTGTCTAAATAGTTTTACTGTAGATCACATTTCGAAGCTTTCAGACCGCAAGAATTTGACATTATCTAAAACTACTTATCGATATTTTAAATATACTCCGAGTATAATTTAATAATACAAATATTAATCTATCTATTCCAAATTATGAAGAAAGGAGAGCAAAGTTCGTTGCAAGAAATTTATACGTATAAATAAAATTATATGAAGGAGATGTATAAACAAACGCATTTTCAATATATTAAATTAATTTCAATAAATTAATTTTTTACAAAGCTAAACCAAATTAGCTGTATTGTACACTTAGAAATGTATTTACATTTTTTAGGAGTGGCCGCATTAGGAAAGAAAGGTAACAAATGAAGAAAAGGCACAAATTCTTTCTCATGCATGTTAGAGTATATAATGATACGGAAATGCACTGAAATTGTGCACTACAAATAAATATATTTTTAACAGCAACTGCGTTATAAATTATGTTCACAATATTACTGCGTTACAGGTTCTCATTTATAGACTACTGTATACAGTCCAATTTGATATTTTTTCAAGTTACGCTAGCAGAGACGTACAAGTTTACAGTAATGACGCTAGATGGAATTTTTTTAGATGCTGTTGCCATTAGGCAGTTTTTAGGAGTAGTATCGTGGCTTATATTTGTCAGTGTTGTAAGTTGAAAGAGATGAGAGAGGAATAAATAAGAGATGAGGGAAGGAGATAAATTGACGAAAGGGATAAAAAAATAACAAAGAGACAAGACTAATGTACAACACTTGTTCGCAAGTATATTCTTCAAATACATACTCGTACTTTATAGTTTAAATATTCGGAATACAATTCATTTTTCACGAGTCAATATCTGAAGAAAGTAACTAACGTGTTGTGTGATGATGATGATAGGTGATACATTTAATAGAAACACGTAATGTTGGCGAACACAAGACTGCGTACATTACCAACAGAATCAACTTTCTCTCGGCGTACCGACTGCAAAGGACTTGTAAAGTGTTCTGTAAAGATATAGGAAGTCAGCGGATGGCCAATTCTGCGCCACATAATTATATTCACGTCACGTGTTAATTATCTTAACCAAACTAGTCTACGATAGCATCCTATCTACAGCATAAATTTAATCTTTTCCTCACCCAGGTTGTTTCCGTTCTCTGTCTGGTTGTTACTAGGAGATATAAAAATAAATAAATAGTCCATTCACCATAGTGAGACTGGGATACTGAGACGACACGTTCTTCAAGTGCCTGAGAACTGCGGGTCCGAACTTTTCGTTGGCTTGATCTATAGACATTCGGTAGGACTCCTTGGACGAGGGATCGGCCCGTCGCAAGGCCTCTACCTGTACACAGGACAGCACAACACAGAAAAACATCCATGGCTTGAGTGGGATTCGAACCCACGGTCCCAGCGACCAAGCGGTACAAGGCCCACACCTCAGACCGCGGAGCCACAGCGGACCCCATAGTGAGACATGACAGTAAATAATAAACACGTGTGATATGTCATTTCAATCTTCCAACCCCAATATAATGACACAAAAGAATAATTCTATGTTTATTTCTCATAGTGTGCAAAATTCCATATGTAAGTTACGAGGTAAAATTGACAATTATTGTTTACATTGTTATAAATGGTACTGAAGAATTAAAAATAAAATATGAATCTAATATACATATATTTGATCCAATATTAACATGGGTGATGGTCCAAGAAAGTTTTATAACATTCATGGGCTGTGAAAGTATGAAGTCTTGCATAATATACATGCATTTACAAACACGAAGTAATAGTTAATAAAAAATGTGTGATATGAGAAACAGGCACTTTACTACACTAAATAAATGCAGATTATTTTTTAGCACACTGGGAGACGTGGCCTTATAAGAAATATAAAATGCACATGATTAGTTCTTATCAATAGCATCCCAGTTTTATACAGTTTTGAAAGTCAATTTTTGTTAGTAGTCTCCTTGGAGATAAACAGTAAAATACGTTTATGCAACTGTAGCTCGGCTTTCGAATACAGAATAATTGTATCATTACCTTAAAGCAACCCTTAAATACATAAGCTTTCGTGTAGGATTTGAGGTTTTCAAGGTGGTGAGTCTGAAGATGTCTGACTTCTGGGTTCTTGCGCCGTGTAGTCTGGTAGATAGATGTCCACCAATAATATAAAACAAAACGACGTTTCGGAGATGAGGCTCTATCTCCGTCTTCAGGTACCTACTCCATTGAGCCCAACAGAGTAGGTACTTGAATACGTATATAGAGCTCCATCTCCGAAACGTCGTTTTATTTAATTATTTTACTAGACGATGGAAAATATCCAAGGAAATGTTTATTCAAATAACTCACCATCGTCACGAACTTTTAGATTTGATATACATAAAAAGAAGCTCTCTACTGCAGTCCAATTACAAAAACGCACAATTCCTAAAATCAAAATATTAGCTATTAATTTTTTAGTGCACAGTAAGAGTGGCTTTAGTCAAGCGTTGACTTGTAACGAGGGTGGCTGTCTTCTGGGTTGTTGAGCCGTAAAGTCTGGTAGAAGTTTACCGACGTTTCAGAGATCCTTGCTGACTCTATCATCGCCCTGATAATGGATGCAGCAAGGACCTCTGAAACGTCAGTAAAATTCTACCAGACTACACGGCGCAACAACCCAGAAGACAGCCATCGATAGTAAACTAGTCTTGAAACATATTTATAAATGATAAGTTTTAATTGTGCTATAGGCCTACAACACTGCATCTATAAATGAAAATATTGCTGACGTTTCGAGAGCACATATTACCTTCTTCTCCAGATTCGAGGTGTGGGCTTATTGTAGTGATTATGTTTAGTATTGTGATTTCTTGGCATTGAACTACCTCCAGCTGAAGACACACATACGGAGATTTACTGGTAACAAAATTAAATTAGTTTTACGAAGTTCACATATCACATAGTATTTACGACGGCTAGTAATATCATATTATCAGCCTAGTACAAAATTAATGGTAATAACGTTTAGATTTTTCCTCCGTAAGCCTTGTATAATTTGTAATTCTATGCCACAGGAGACGAAATAGTCTTCGAAACACCTGTTAAGCGATTTTTCTGTTTTCTGTCTTGTTGCCAAGACTGTGGTTCGTGATGTGTGTTCCTGTAAGTTCATGTTGAAAGTATTCGCCAAATTTGACAAGAAGCGTTATATTATATAATAATTTAAATAAATATTCCAGACAGAATTTTAGGTCTTCATTGAGTTTAATCAGGTGAAACGGTGGTCTAGCTGTTAGAACGATGGATTTGTAATACTGGGGTTCCGGGTTCGATTCCCGGCGGTGTTCAGATTTACAACTTGTGTTGGGCAAGGCCGTGGTCTAGGCATCACGGAGTTTTCCTCCGGGGTTTCCCCCGCTTTTATCCCAACAATTACTCCACTTTCATCATCATCTCGCAAAAAGGGGGTCACAGCAGGAGCGTTAAATGTCGCCGTCCCGATCGAACCCATGTACTGCTAACCACCAATGCACACCATGCTGAACGGTATGTATTGGTGAATATTTTCAGTTTCCGTGTAACCTAGTAATTTTCTTCATGCACGCTGTTATAATCTGAAGCACATGTCACAGAAAACTGCTGTGACGATGAGTTTTAATTCTCAAAATGCACTGATGAGTCCAATATCTATAACGCTGCGTGTGCCTTGCCATCCGTGGGAAGTCTGGAATTGAATACAATACGGATTAATATAAAACATTAAAATCGATTACAAATCAGAGAGCATTTTAATACCAGAGCAATATTATCGGTGTCTTTCAGTTCCTAATGGTCGCGCTGGTCGGCATGACCGCAGCCGCCAGCCTCGACAACACCTACTTGCCACCTACAGGAGCAGCCGGCTCGGGGGGCTCTCCTGGAGCAATTCAGGCTCCATTTGGAGGACCAGGAGCTCCTGGTGGTGGAAGACTTGGGGGCAGTGCTTCTGGAGGATTCGGAGGCGGTGCCGGAGGTGGTGCTGGAAGTGGTTTTAGAGGCAGAAGCGGCGCTGGAGGCTTCGGAGGTGGTGCTGGAGGCGGGTACAGTGGTAGCGGCGCCGGAGGTTTCAGAGGTGGTGCTGGAGGTTTAGGGGGTGGTGCTGGAGGTTTCGGAGGTGGTCCTGGAGGCTTCGGAGGTGGTGCTGGAGGCTTCGGAGGTGGTGCTGGAGGCGGACCATCTGGTCCAGTGGTACCTATTTTGAGATACGAGAACGAAAACAACGGAGATGGAAGCTATTCATACAGGTCAGTTACAGACATAATTTATCGGCGAAGAACAGTCTATAGTTCCGACAGTAGAATATTATTTTTAGTGTCACACACAAGTTTAAGTACTGACATCTTCAGTGCTGCGGTTAGTTGCGTCTGTTCATATCCCGCCAAGACTCGACTTTCAGCTCAGTCTGTTCGATGAGTTTCCCCATCTTCTAATCTGTAGGGTAACTTCTAGAATTCATATCCTTTGCATGTGGTGGATTGTTGCAGACCCATAGGGCAGATCTTTCGAGGTTTAGTTCTACGCGACAGATCCGCGCCGGTTTAAATAACCATTAGAGACAATCAGCTGATAAAATAATTGAATAGATCTCGTTCGTGATGTTGAGAGAGTTGTCAGTTAAAAAAAATAAGGATTCACATATAACTCTTGAGGAGAGATGATCCATACTAAGTGATTCCTAGGAGCATAGTGTTAAAGGAATATTGCAATTGACGCATAATTAGTATACAAGAAAAATGAATAGTTAAGAGTAAAGTTAGTATAATTAAGAAGTGCAACACAAAGCAGTTAAATATATAAGCAAACACAGAAGTAGCTGATAATTTGATATATCAATCTGTGATCCCAACTTAATAATTCTAGGAGACAAAAATAAGGAGGAAAAATTTCGAACTGTTTCAAAATCCCAACAAACAATCACTGAAAAAACAAAACTCTGAGGTGGATGTTGCTTCGAGCATGGTAAAAAAGTATGCTGATACTGTCAGGAAGCCATCGACTACGATATAGTTCATAATTTGGCGGTAGACCAACAAACAAAACAGTTAATTATGCAAATAAAATGATCATGACGCAATAACTGAATGCGTTTTAAAATGTTTTCCGAGGCGTTCTTCTGAATGCGTTTTAAAATGTTTTCCGAGAAGTTCTGTAAGATATCTTTGAGAACCCGAATTAATTCAGCAGCGATTGGTAACAAGTAAACAGAACTTAAAATGACAGCTCCTTGCAAAGGCTTTCGGAACGAAGGACAGACGTCAAAGACACAGTCACTTTAATATTGTTATGAAACTCGCATACAACGAACAATGGAACAAAATATTCCTATGACTATACACTGGCATATATTATAAAAGCCGCTGAGATACAAAATACATTCATGCCGCAATATATTTAGTAAAGCCTACTTAAAACTATACCATGTTTATGTTTTTATTATACAGAAATACCAAATGTAACTCTCACCCACTTGTGGCGTGTCTCACTCTGTGGTAACAAATATATGCAGTGTCACCAGCAATCATTATTTTGTAACTGAAATTACATTTCTCACTTGGAGGTTGTATGAATGAAATATAGCCTATTGTAAAATATGAGTTCATAAGAATAGTAGCATCAACATTAGCATAATTCTGCGTGATATTTCAGTTCAAAGAGCATTAGCATAATTCTGCGTGATATTTCATTTCAAAGCCATTATTATATAATAGCATTCCATGTGGTCATGAAAGTATACAGGATTCTTCTTTGTTTCATTTCCACATTCAATGTTGTTACCTTTGTTTCACAGAATGTAAGTTCCGTTTCCACGTGCATTGAGTTCGTGCGACAGCTTTTACGAGATTAAATTCTCATGCTGAGTCACGTGCATACAATTTAACTCTACTGTCTAAGTTCCCGGTCTGTTATGTCTCATGACTTTACCAGACCGTGTCTTTGTTCATAATCTTCGCTAGTCCTACAGCCTCCAACACAGATATTTTACGCGTAGTGTTAAAGAATAACACTCCGAGAGTTGTCTTTTATAAAATCCTATACATGCCTGCAATAGTTATTTCTGTTATTCTAAACAAAAAAGCAATGATCTTAAATAGATATAAATTAATTGAATAATAAAATTATACACTGGGGGTTAGTATAAAGTTTAAGACAATTCAAATTATTAATTATTATTATATTACCAGATTCCTTCTAATAAGTGACTGAATTCGATTATTTATACATTCCTAGCGATAAATATTAATTTTGCACATGCAGCGTATTTTGGTAATTGTTTATGTTTCAGTATTTATTTAAAATGTGTAACATTTTAATCTTTAATCACGTTTATTGTATAAGCGAACCAAAAATTTTGTTTTGGAAGTGAAGACTATTTCATCTTAACAAAACGTTCAACGCTGGCTTTCGGAGATAAGCCACGTCAAATATTGAAAGGTATTCAATCTTTGGCAAACACTGCATTTTCCATCTTCAGCGTAAATATGTAGGTTAATGGCTGGGTGTTTTGGAAAGCCTTACATAGGGCAGACATTAGATACTCAACACCCACTAACTCTCTTCACACTTCATCTACTTTCTGAAAAACAATCAATCTCCGTTGTTAATGTTACATGTTCAAAACTCGTTTCATGTATGTAACAAGAGTCCTTCGTTACTACATAGTCAGTCTACTTATTTGAATGTTCAGAAGTAATGACCCTACTCGGTTTCTATGTTACTTTGTCCATCACTCAAAACTGGGCATCAAAGCTAGAACCATTTTTGCACTTGAAGGCATAAGTGAAAAGTAAAAAGAGTAAAGCTGTCCCACTATATGCTACGTAGGCGCTTCGGGGTGAGGCGGTATAGTTCCTACTCATTCTTGATGGGGATGAATGGTAAGCATCACGCCCCGACCGCATTACCCCCGGGAAAAGACCCTGGAACCCAGGCTCGGTAGGCCACAGAACCGGTCTGGACGCAGAGGATAGAGGAAACATCCCCTATACCCGTCGGGGATTGAGCCCCGTTCGTACCAATTTATATTTGACTACCTATTGTAAAATTAAAAACTATCGGAAGTTCTGTG